TTATTAGAAATTGATGGAAAATTCTTTAAGCTGTACTCGATAATACAATAAAGTTGTTTTTATAATAAAGTGATATTTTTTTTTTCTTTTTTTTTTTTACGTCCTTAAAAATAATACGATGTCTGTAAATATTTGTGAAAATGTTTATACGATATGTCGTCCTTTGTTTAATTTCTATCATTATATTATATTTTTATATAAAATTTATAAAATAATTCCATATGCTTTTTATATATATATATATGTTCAAATTATTTTGTTTCACGTTTAATTTCAAAATTTATATCATTCATTATATGAATAAATTTTTAAAATTCATTTCATCTTAAACATTTATGATTTGTCGGTAATATTCATTTAAATGGTAATATTATACATAAACGTATTTATACTTATTCTATTAATATTTCTTGATTTATATTCAAAACTAACCGTGTCTTCAACAAAAGGTAAAAATGAAATATTTATCATTGGATATAATATCTTAGAGCAAAAATCTAATTATAAGTTACATTTCCATATGAATCTCAGATTTAATTCTTTTAAAAATGTGTATAATGTTTGAATAATTAACAATACTATTTCGTATATATTCTATCATAATGGAATTACTAATTTAATAATCATATACATTTTTTCTTCCTTCAAACGATACTCATGCTATTATGTCTATTAAATGGAATAAAATATTTTATTATAGAATAAAAAGAGCGGAAAAACTCTCGATTAACAATTAAAATAAATAACACCTTAGTAAAAACAGTATCTCTAATGAATAGAAATGATAATTCAGTGAATTGTAATTAGTTAATTCCAATTAATGATTCATAGTTTTTTAGTAATGAATAATGCCAGAGTAAACGAGAGAAAGGAATTTTGAAAGAGCCGACAAGTCATCAAATATTTCACAAAACCTGAATACGTTAAAATTTGTTAACAGTGAATATTTCGAGATAATCAAATGCAATCATAACTTTTTCTAGATTATAAATATAAAGTTTCGTTAGAATATTACTTTTTTCTTTTTTTTTTTTTTTTTTTTTTTAAGTGTCCATTCGGATAAAAAACATGACATCGTCATATATTTTTTTCAAAGGTGAGTGTATTAAATGACACAACAACTATTATCTAAAAAATTTCATACTTATACAGTACTTTTATTGACGAATGTCATATTTTGAAATCAATGTATCAAGGAGAAAAATTTATAAAAACTTGTTAAAGGTTAATCTCAAAATACCAAAAGGCTGCTAATACAAAATTAGAAATTCCAATTCAATCTTTTTAATTTAGAGTTTGAATCATAATGTTGCCCATCAAATGCAAAAAAAAAAAACTCGTAATTTCTTAGATATCTAATGTGAAAGAACTATTAATTATTCATAAATCGAATGTAAAGTAATTATTAATTATTAGAGATTAAAATTTCTTTGCAAAAAATACATTTCGAATAAAAATTCGAACTATTTTAGAATCGATAACTATCAGTTAGTATTAATGTCCGAATCATTGCAATTGCTAATAATCGATTAATATTTTATTATCATTATCCTGCCGCAATATTGATCAGCGATGTGTTAAACTACATTCTTTTTAAAGCATTTAATTAAATATTTCGTAGTGCGGATAGATTACTTTTAAATAAGTGATTGTGGCGGTTGAAAAGTTTTAATTTTCTATTAAAAAAATTATAACGATCAGGTTGCCGAGGTGTTTGTGTTGAATTGTTACAAAGTATCGAAAATGATTTGAATTATTTGTGAAAAAGTTATATAGAAAGATTATAATTTAGTTTGCAAATAGATTGATCGAACATTCTAAGAAGTGAGAATAAATGCAAAAATGTTAATTAATTTGAATTTAATGAAAAAACTCAGTTTGAAATGAAAAATTTATTATTTATCGACAAATTGTTGTGAAATTTATTAAAAATTAAAAACTAAAATTTTATTTTGCTGTGTAATTTTTGTATTATTGTAATATTTAGTTATCTACATTTATTTTCATTTTTATGCGAGTTTCCGATTATTTGTATTTTTGTAGCTCGGCATCTCACAACACATTCTCTTAGACTTTTATATCCTAGAACATCGGATCGTGCAACGAATAATAACGTTGTAATTTAAATTATTGCAGTGCCATAATTTTGTTGCATATTTAGCAATAGTCGCATAAAATCTTTACACAAAATATATTATGCATCATTAGAATGCACAATGTTATCGTCGTTACAACTCGTCGAAGAAAAGTATGATATTGTGGCCATTTAAACAATATAATTGAATAATCAAGCAAGAGTCAAGAGCTTCCAAAATATGTGTTAAACAATCGTATTGTTATATGGCCAATGTTAAATGAAAATGCAGAATGAATGGATGTCGAAGGTAATTACCCTCGAAGATGTTTAAATGTCGGATGCGCTCACAAAGGAGGCAAAGGACATTCTTTACCAGCCAGTCCTATTAGCCCAAGACGCGTGCATAGTTGAGTATGTGTAAGTGAAATAGCGTGGTATCGACAGTCGTGATATGACAGTAGTCGGGCTACGGGTAGTGGCAACAGCTCTGCATGCCAGCATACACGTACATAACGAATCCTCGTGGCAGATGTCGGACGGGGGTTAGAGGGGCGCGAGACGTTCGTTCCAACGGTCCCCGGAGCAGCTGCAGCAATTCCAAGTCTCTCTCGGTATTCTCTGGATTATTCTACAATCGAATGTCCCTTCGGCGTTTATGATTTTAAACAATGTTGAAAAATTATTCTATCGGGATATCATTATTCATTCAATTAGCGAGCAATTTGCTATCTCTTCAAAAATTTATTATCCAAATTCCGAGCTAAAAGCTATTTTCAATTTTCTACAGCATAACGAATTCGACAAAATAGGCTTCGTTGCTTTGTTTTACTACATATTACAAATAATTCAGCGGTACAGCCGAATAAGTCAAGTTAATCGTCTTATGTATTCATAATGCGCTAGTGAACGAATTAGTAACATTCCATTTAAATACACAGTCACAAAATGACTTACACACGGATGAACGAGCGATAATTAATAATGAAAAATCAATCGGATGAGACTGAAAATTGTCATGGGCCTTTAATAATTTTCTGACATTGCGACATTTTCAGTGAAATGTGTAATGGGCGTGTTAGATGTTAAAATAGTTAAAAGACTGCTGCTATCTCTATGTGCTCGGTTGCATAGGTCGGGGACATAATTGTAGAAAAACCTTAGCGCGCTTAAGAGTTCAGACAGGGAGTCCGTTGAAGATCAAGTTCACGTCTCTTGGCGTTCTACACACTATAAAGTCTCATTCTTTTTAAAATGACGTAGTTGCGTTTTTAAAATATTTCTACGCGACTTGGTTAGTCAGGCTGTTAATAGATAATATAGATTCCGCTTTTCGTGCATTCAATCGCTGTTGCAAAAATGAAATGTTTTCATAAGAATATTCTTTTACTATAAATACACGAGTGTATAATAATCAAGTTGTGTGGGCCATTTAAACTTTTTTTTAATATGGATTTGCCTATAGGCAATAAAATACCAATTTATGTATGCCAAATGTGCCAATGAATAAATTATATATATTTTATCTTGATAATTTTGTTCATCAGAAATAAAAAATAAGTAAAAATAACGCACATACTACAGGCATCAGTTGTTTTTCAATAAGGAACAGGTTAATTTCATTTGCCTATGCATTCTTTTACATTATAATTTAAATCCATGGACTTATTTTTTGTATAAATTTTAATCGAACGATTGCTTATTAATAAATTTACATTTGTTTATTTAATTATTATTTAGTTAATATATATATATATATATATATATATATATATATATATTAAAAAATACGTTCATCAGGAGAGTATCACTCTATTATTATGAAAAAAAAAATTCCTATTTAATGTACCAGTTATGTTATTATTTAATGAAATAAGTAAGATAAATTTTTTTATATTATTTAGATTTGGTATTGAAAAAGCGTTATTAATTTCTCAACGAAAGAAAAATATGCAAGTACGCGAGTCCCACTAATATAGCTAAAAAGTTTGTAAAAGCAGGCACTACTACTCTACATAATTGAAAAACGTATATAATAGAATTTATCCTGATAACAAATTGTATCAAAATTTTAGATAAATATATATATATATATATATATATATATATATATTTTTAATAACATTTATATATTATAATGTTATTTTCAAAGCTTCGATATATACATATTCAAATGCATATTTTAATTATTTTATCCAATAATCATATAAATTAATATATAAAAAGTTTGTATATAAAAAGCGTTAGGCTTAAGATAAATTGCAAATATTTTTAATTACATTGAGATTATAAATCGCATATTACAATTTTTCTATTTATTACTATTATTTTTTTTTGTTGATCGAAAAAACAAAAAACTTAATAACAATGAAAATCATGGATAAATATAAATAGATTTTAATACTTAAGCCAACATTATATTTTCTACAAAGAAGTTCCTTAACATTTTGACTTTATTATTTTTACTATTTTCCTATTAAATAATAACCAAAACTATATAATATAAGCTTATCAAAAAAAAAAAAAAAAAAAAAAAAAAAAAAAAAAAAAAAAAAAAAATTTTAAATTCTTAACAGATATTTAAATGAACAAAGAGCAAGAAAATATATACAGTTGTTAAAAGTGATGTAAATCATTCAAATAAATAAATGTAAATTGTTTTAATAAAATATATATTATTAGTTATATATCCTAATATTTTACTAATACCAGTAAATGAGCTGTTTTATGTGGCCGTATGTATGTGTATATATATTTATAAAGAATCGGAAAAAAAAGTGGGAGACAGAATATTTGAGGGAGGGGAAGGAAATAAGGGTCTTGCAAGTCTGACAATCAGACCTCCGTTGGTAAACTGAACTAACGTCCGTTAACGGTGATTCTATATCCATAAAGGAAATTTGGTGAATCGGAGGCTAAAAACCCCCTGTATTTAGTCACGTATCTATTTGTGTTTTACACTTTTGAAGTTCAAATTCAAATCTGTATTGCATGTGTAGATAACAAGATTTTTTTTTTAATTTTGTGGAGTTCTGATGCTTCATTGATATGAAAAGAAAAATCCAAATGTTATTTAATGAGCGTTCAAAACATGAAAGTCTATTTTTATTTATTCATATATTAAACAGCATTTAACCTTTAATGTAATTGAAATTGTTTCAATAAAACCCAAAATGTTAGACTTTTTTTATTCTATAGAATTAAGATATATTACATATTATTGAATACCTAATTTTTGTCCTTTCTTATATTTTCAAGATTCTTAGATATACGTTAATTTTCAATATTATGATATACATATATATATATATATATATATATATATATATAGGAAATGAAAACGAAATACTAAATAATATTATTGTTATAGAAAAGACTAATCAATCAATTCATTTTTAACAAATGTTTTTCGCACTTTTCAATTAAGCTAAAAAACAAAATAAGTAAATGCCTAAAAAAATTTATAAATCATAGGATTATAAAATATTATAAGGATCATAGCATGTTTATCTAGTCAGATTCACTTTTACAGTATTAATCATTACAAGACGTGTTGCACATACTTTTTTTTTATATGTTTTGTTATGTGTAACGTATAAGCACGTAAAAAAAAAAATGTCCACGATTTTCTCCTTAAATCAACATTTCCGAATACTTTGGAAATTTGTCACACATACTGTTTTGGTATTTATGACTACTTAAACTGAATACAATATAATTTAATTGAGAATATATGATTCTATTGGTCGATAATTATCTTTTCGCAAAACATAGTAAAGATCAATTTTACTAGATAATAAAATGCTTTGTATAAAAAATATGGTACAAATTTTTAAACATATGGCAGCATAAAAGGTACAAATTGCATATTTGTCTGAACATTTTAATGTAATAATTTTATGGGTAAGCGAACAAATGCAATATTTTTTTTATCCGTTGCTTATTCTATCGTATGAAGTATGAATTTAACACTGGATTTTTTTAGTTTACTCAAAATGCACAAATGCTCAATTAAGAGCATTATCGTATGACAAATACAATAAAAAGAAAAGGGAAAATAATGAAACTGTCAACAAGAACTAACAGTTTTTAACTCAAACAGCAAGAAATAAAAATCGTAAGAAAAAAAGGACTTGACTTTTAAATAATTTTTTTTTGTTTGATTGCATACGTGCGTGTAGTGTATAGTGTTAACTGTGTTGTGGTGTGTGTCGTCGCCTTTCCCACTCTTCCGCTCTCGATCGTGCCTTTGCCGTTTCTCCGATCCCAATCGTGTTTCTCCTACCCTGTCGACCTCGACAACGGCTGTTTTTCATGCGGTATACTGCATATCCTTTGTAACAGATGAAGAGAGGTAGAGAGAGAAGGAAGGAGAGAGAGAGAGAGAGAGAGAGAGAGAGAGAGTGATTGAGTGAGAGGTGCGTATTGCGGAGGGCAGTGGCACGGGCAGGGGGAGGGTGGCGAGATGGTGGGGGTGGGAGAGGGGGAGGAGGAGGAGCGAGTGTGAGATAGAACGAGAAGGGGGGTGGGAGAAAGTGAGCGAGCGAGTGAGTAAGCGAGGGGGAGGGGTTGAGCGAGTGAGAGAGAGAGAGAGAGAGAGAGAGAGAGAGAGCGAGCGGGCTTTGACTCGCTAGTCGGGCAGCCTTGTGTGCAGCGCGCATCGATGGAACCAGTATTGGTTGGAGCGAGCACATCTGCCAGAACGCTTGGCTGACAATGTTGGTTGGCTGTTAGTAGTGTGGCATTCGATATTCAGTAACTATTAAACCGTTGCAGTGCCTTGGTCGTTTGTCCGTTTTTTCAGAGTTAGCACGCGCGAAGAGTGCAAAAAAATTCAGTTTCTCGTTGCACGCGGAGTGAAAGCTCGCGATACAAAGGCAGGTTGCGAGGATCATATCATTTTAGTTCCCGATGCGTCGTCCGTTAGGCGCGTACAACTGCCAACGACAATAATGTGCAAAAAATACGGAGTACCCTGCATCAAGGATAACACCTATGACGACTTGCCGGTATTACCGAGCAGGTCGGTCAGTTACTCACTCGAGTATTCGTGGCGGGCAACTTACATTAGTAGCGTGATGATTATTCTCGTGAGGAAGTGAGGATCTATGAACATAATAGATAGTACGTTGTTCAACAGAGATGGAAAATAATCAGGATCCGGCACAAGTGCACTGTTACACAAATCCTTCCTTCTGTAGACAATCGGAATATATACCAGAGGATGGACAAAGCGACGACCTACCGCCACCTCCGCAATTTCAGGTATGCCATTATGAGGGGAGAGCAACAACTTGCTTCCGCTCGAATAGTTTTTAAGGGCTGTTGTAAGAGTGATAAGGTAGTGCGAGCTTCAAACGCCAACAATGTAACCGACAACAGTTACGAAATTTTAAAAATCAACGTTATCAAGTGATCCTCAAAGCTTGTAATTTATAAGCCGTTTAGTGGCTCTGATCGACGGGATAACCCAACTATGTTATTTGATGTTGTTTTATCTAACTCAAGTCGATTCTTTTCCTTCGAAACTTTTTGAAAAAATACACTTCTTTTGACTCAAATTTCCATTTCGTTTTAATTATAATAGATTGATAGTTTCGGCTCTCTTTAATCGTATTATCAATTTTTCTCTATCACGAAATGAAATTTTGTCAGCCTGAAGCGTAATTATCGTGATATCTATATAAATTGAAGAAGTTTAATCGATTAAAAAACTTAAAAAAAAAAAAACAAATAAATAATTAAAGAATAGAAGCTTATGAAACGGATATTAGTAACTAATTCAACATAAAAAAATTATTTTTACATCCACATAACAAAAAGTATGAATTATGCATAGCGAAACTTGTGTTAAATTTTAGAACATTTAAATTTATTAAATAAATATTATTGCAGTCAATAGCTACGCTCACCTCATTAAATTTTAGCAAACGGTTTAATAAGTTTAAGCGCTTCAAATTTTTCTACGAAGAAAAGCAATTTTTTTCATCCTATTTCATGTTTGTTAAAAAAAAAAAAGAAGAAATTAACTCATAAACATAAATAAATTAGTTCGATATTATTCTTATATATCATTATAATATAGTTATTGAATAATAAATAATATAAGGCGTTTTAATTTATGTATGAGAGGTAAGTATTTACACATCATTATAAAGCATCGCTTGTAATGTTTGCGTAAAACTCCATGTTAAATAAGGAAATAATTAGTACGTGAATTTTATTATCTTTGCCAATAAAATATACGTTTATTGTGAATGTAAAATGGGCAAAAACTTGTAAATAAAATACTGAAATTTACGTTGACAATAGTTATTTTAAAGAGTAGAGATTGGACAAAGATTGTATAAGAAAATGCCCTTTATGATTTTAAGATAAAATACTTTTTTTTTACAGATAGAATAAGATGCTGCAAATTTTTAAAAGTATTCATAATTATAAATCGGTCTAAGCTCTTTAAATTGTTTTTGAAAGCAATATCGCGTTAAATTTATATTTTTCAATTTTGCAGCTTGACGATATTCCAGCACCGTTAACAATCCATCAATCTCACTCGGAATATGGTCAAAACAATCCAGCTTTCCATGGTAGTCCAGAAGCGGAGCATATCAACCACCGTCAATTTCACCACCGTAGCATTGTCGATCTCAACCATACAAGCATCGATCGCTACTGCTATATAGATGACAGCATCGATCAAGAAACTCCACAAGCAGTGTCTCATAAGCGATACGGCAGTTTGCCTCTCGGTGGTCAAAATCTTCGATCATACCCACACAAAATCAATCGTTATGAATATATTCAAGATGATGCTACTACCTTAGTACAACCGCAGCAGCAACATCAAGAACATCAGCAGCAGCAGCAGCAGCAGCAGCAACAACAACAACAGCAGCAACAACAACAGCAACATCAACAACAGCAACAGCAACAGCAACAGCAACAGCAACAGCAACAACAACAGCGACAACAACAACAACAGCAACAACAACAGCAACAGCAGCAACAGCAACAGCAATTACAACAGCAAAGAGCTACGATCGGGGACAATGTTTCAGTGTACGAATTTATTGAAAAACAGCAAATACAACAGAAAACTCCGCTGCCACAACAACAACAGCGACCGCAGCAACAAGTGGCAGTACCAAATGGACAAAATTCTTTACGAGCGTCAGTTAGGTCATACAGGGGAACGGACAGTCAATATAATATCTTGGACCCCGAAGGAAATCAAATACAAGAAAGACAATGGGACGCAGATGGTACTGGATCGAGATGGAACATATCTAAGAAACAAATTAGTACGCCTAGAGGTTAGTTAACTTCTTTTTTTAACTCATTCAATGATTTTTATATTAAAATATATTTTCTTTACGCGTAAAGATATTATCGTGCACAGATTTATATAGATCCGAACAGTCTGGTTGAAAAATGCTTTGCTTAAAGCATTTCAAATTCAAATTTTAAACATTTTTAGAATATGTAATGAAATTTAAAAAGACATTTACCAAGTTTTTCATTGAAAAAGTTAGTTTGTAGTTTTTGATCGTAGATACATTTTATTAACGTAGACAAAAAAAAGTTGTAACAACTTTTCATTATTTAGTTTTACCTAAACCCCTCGCTGTTTATATATATATATATATATATATATATATATATATTCATCTTTGCAGCTGGGATTCGAATAATTTCTCTTAATATAAATCTTCAAATATTTCTAATCAAACTATATAAATATTCTTATGCTATTGCATTTTCAAGTATGCAAATTTTATTTAAATCTCAAAATTAAATCAGTTAATGAACGAAATGAAATTATTTTTATTTAACGGACACATTTGATATACATGTATTTGGTATAAAAAAAAAAGGTGTCTTGTAATGTTATAAATAATGCGCTTATGTGATATATTTATACTTTAAATATCACATGAAAATGCCCAACAAGAGAATTCGATGAGAATTTACAAAAGCGATGTACTCTTTAAATATTCCCCATAATTCATTTGAATGTGTTGTTAACGAGAATCGAAGCTTATAAAACTAAAAATGTAAGGAAATAATATTGAATAAAGCATTATCTCTTATAATAAAAGCTACGATATAACGTGAGCAAAATTTTAAAACATCAAAATTGCTATTCCGACTAAAATAGGCGTGGCTATTAAATTTCAGGACGTTATACGAGTTTACCGATGCAAGATGAGGATCCACCAAGACTACCAGAGCGCAACGTACAAGAACTCAACCTCTCGCAGCGAAGTAATAACGTCGCCACTCAAAAACTTCACGAGATTCTAACTACGCCACGAAAATCGAAAACGCGCCCCCAGTCCGATGCACTTACCCCGATGAGGAGTCCTCAGCGACAACAACAGCCAGTTTTACATAACGTTACGCCCACGCAACTTAACACCTTCCCACCGGGATATTCGCCATCTTCCTCAGTGACTGGTGTGACATTTTATTCATTACTTTTCTGCCTCTTCATTCAACTTCACTCGGATAAAAGATTTTACTTTACTCGTTTCTATTATCTTTGCGCTCTTTTCTTATACTTTTTAAGCGTCTCTCGATATTATACTTATATTTATATTTACATTTTACTATTATGTAAGTTTGATTATGAATTATTCATTATGAATTAAACTAATTTTTTAGTTAGTAATAGTAAAGTTAGTTATGTACTAAATGTCTATTTCATCAATAAATGTTGTTTTATTAAAAGAATTATTATAAAAATTGTAGAAATATTACACGAGATTTTATCGTTTATATCAATATTTTATTTTTTTATAATAAATTTTTTTTACATTTATAGCTTTGACTCACTTATGGAAATTTATCAAACACATGTAAATCAAATTATATTTAATACGCACCACTATATAGTTATAAAATAATTTTTTCTTTTCTTTTTAATAAGATATTTATTTACATATTACTTAATATACATTCTTAAAATCAATTTTGTTAATATGCACTTATTTAGTATTATTTAAAGAGTTATTAAAATTATCCTTCGCCTTATTTTATTTCTCATATTGTTCGATTTGATAATTACAATTTATTAATGTTTTTTTTTTTTTTTTTTTTTTTTTTTTTTTTTTTTTTTTTTTTTATTAATAATAGAAATTCTTAATTATAGTTTTTTTTGGAAATTTTAATTATCATCAATTTTTAAATAATTTTATTTATTTGGTAATAGATTTGATAGGACATATATAAAATCGAGAATTTCCGTTTTGAGAAAGAGGTGAAAAAACGAAAAAATCTTTTTGAAAGAAGGGACTGAAACATAATAAAAATCAGTCGAGAGTCAGTAAGTACCAAATGATAATAAGGAATAAAAATGATTAAGAAGAATAACAAAATTCTTTAATAAATAATTTGAATCTTATCGCAATATGTAGTAGTACATTAGTTAAATAGTTCATTTTTAAAATTAACAAAATATATATTGATGTACACTAATTTCACTTACTTCGTACGTTCAGCTATATTTCAATAGTGTAGTTTTTATTATTTGTTATATTTAATAACTTCTTAAAAATGTTAAAAATATTTATGATTATATTGGTATTAAAACCACAAACTTGAAATATGCTTTGGAACATGACAGTCGAACAGATATAAATAAACATGCTCTAACAAATAAGAATTGTAAGGAAATCGTTAACTGTTTAGCAATAAAATACTGTAAGATATATTTTTTGTACAGGATATCGAGTAATAAACTCACCGATGCATCCACAGCGACATCCACAGCTTTTTCAACAACAACAGCAGCAGCAGCAGCAGCAGCAGCAGCAGCAACAGCAACAGCAACAACAGCAACAACAGCAGCAACAGCAACAACAACAACAACAACAACAAAGTACACCCCATAATCGTACCACATCTCCACGGAGCAAAGGTTTAACAACATCGACTCCAAACAAGGAGACACCGTCGGCAAGGCGCTGCTTGCCCTTGAATGGTGAGCCGGTGCCTATTGGTTCCATACTACGTCATCACATCCAAGATAGCCAGGTTGCATATGGTAGTACCTATGGTGAGCGTCAGAGAAATGTCCCGACCACGGCAGCGTTCTACCAAGGTGTCGAGGGCGCCTTCATCGCACGCACAGCGGTAGTGAGTCTTGCAATTTGTCGTTAAAATTGAATATTTCTTAATTTTTGTATAATATAGTAAGTTTCATGACCAATGCATGCACTGCGCATTATAAAGTATATATTCTCATAATGAATTTACAGTAAAGATTATTATAATTTTATAATAAAGTAATTGGTGCTAATGCTTAAACGTTTAACTACTTTAAACTTAGTTTAAGAATTTCTAATAATTTGGGATTGAAGTTTTGTGCCATAAAGGATACAAATAATATCATTCACTTGTTTCATTCATTTATCATATATGGCTAATATAATTAAAAAGTTTATTTTTGTAAAAATTTTATATTTAAGCCAAGGTAAATAGCGAAAAAATTACAATCGTATTGGGAATTGTAGTAATCAATTTTATCTCTATAATTATTCTTATCTTTCTTATTAAAGTAACCAATTATTATCAAGTCTTTGTTTTTATTTTGATAAAATTTGTTCTTAATCGAGAAGATCTTGTATCATATATAATTTTGATAAATGCGCGCACATGAATTTATAAATGAATAAATTTATATAAACATGTACGTATTAATTTGTTCAATTCTTTTTTTTCTGTTTATACAAATACAACTGCAAATATGCAAATGCATATACTATATACGTATAAATACATATAATTGTTTAAAATTTTAGAGTTTAATTATCCAATTTGCAAAGTAATCACTAATTATTCTATTATTTATATTTATTGTTGTATTATAATAATTATAATTATTATGTATTCGTTTGATTTTAATTTTAATTATGTAGCCGTTGCTTTCGTGTATTATTATTCAAATATAATAGTTGCACATCTATCTATAATTTTGTTATGCATACATGCGTATGTACAGGTAGATAGTTTTGTATTTTTATGAAATTAGTTAATACACTTATAAGCATATTATTGTATTTAGAAGGAAGAGTTTTTATAAATATATTTGTATGTTCTTTTTACTTATTTATTTAAATATTGCTTGAGTTATTAACGCAATAAATTTCTTCGCTACTATATCAAAGAAACAACAATGGTGAAACAACAATATTGAAATAATTTTAATACAAATTTAGGAAATGTAGAGTCGTATAGAGATTATTTCTTGATATTTTTTTCAGGTACCACCATTATCGCCGCCAATAAGTGAAGCAAATACTACATTAGTCAGTGGCACAGATAAATCTGATAGAAAGAATGCGCCTCTCATTCTTTTTTTGGTTGGTATACTAACTTGTGGTCTAGCCTCATATTTGTCATGGACACAAGGACGCAGGTAAATATATTCAAAATTTAATGCAAATAATTGTCTGTCCAATAAGAAAGCACATCGATTAAAATTTAATGTAAAAAAATAACTTTATGAGATAATAATATTTCTACTACTGTTATTTATTTAATATGTTGAGGTATAGGTAAAAATTTTTGTTTTTTTCTCTTTTTTTTTTGTTTAATCGTGCACATTGAATAATTTCATCATTAAAATTTTAATGTATATGATTTCAAAAGTTTCTCAACTATATTGATAAAATCATTTTAATTATTACAATAGTTACCCAAAATTATCCATCTACATCAGCTAACGCTCAAATTTATTTACTATAATTATATAAAACATTAAATGTAATAATCTGCAAATTTGTAAAATAGATGAAATTTATTTATTACGATGTTTTAAATATAAAGAGCATTAAATTATTAATAATAATAATATAAAAACATTTATGTACATCTTGAACTCTGTTTTCCTATTTGGATGATAAAAAAAAATAATTGAAAAATTTCAATTAATAATTTGATTAGATTAGTAATGATAAATTGTTAATGAACGCTTAAATAGTTTTTCAAATTCATGAAATATCTAAATATTAAAGAAATAATCTAAAAATAGAAAATAAATTTTTCATGTATACAAGTGGTATTGTATGTTACGTGATAATAATTATCATTAGATTTCAAATTCTGTTAAACTTTTCAAAAGTATTAGCGAAATTTAACCAATAAACAAATTAATATTTACCTAATAATTAAATTCATATTAGAGAATATTTACAGAAATACTAAGCGTTGATTACGTATAAAATATATTAAAAGTTGAAATACGAAATGGATCCTTTAGCATTACATGTATATATATATATATATATATATATATATATATATATATATATATATATTAATTGCGAAATGATTAATGTCTAGATAATTATTTAAATTTAATAAAGTACTAATGAATGACAATAGCCTTTGTAATTTGTATTACTTGCTTATATTATGCAAATTTTCAATTGAAGATGGGCTGGAATTGAGAATCAGTCGCTTCATCAGACGTCTAATACAGCTTCCCAAAATTTTTTCATAATTTCATAATTTTCTCTAAAAATTCTCATCTCTATACGCTATGTCCGAGCGTAATAACGCACTCGTGACTTATTTCCTTTTGTTCGTTACAGATATTACTTTGACAGTGCGATTGGGTGCGGGGCATGTTGTGCCCTGGCGGGAGCATGTCGTAGTATGCGTCGCACTTGGACCGGACTCGGTTTGGCCGGTCTCGCCGCACTTAGTTGCGCTGGCCTTTTGTTGTTAGCTGCCAAGTCCCCACGACCTGGAACTCCGTTGCATGATATTACGGCCGGTGCTCTATGTGGCGTTTCATTACTCGGTGCAGTACTTGCCCTGCTCGCCTTGGTTTCGCCGAGGTGCGCTTTTGGCAGACACAGGCGCGTACACTCCTGGATACCTAGGTTTTCGCCTTGAGCATGAGCACGGTTGAGGAAGAACGATCGCTAGATTCTTGCGTCATAAAAGGAAAAAAATTTATGTCGTTTAGTCAATGTATAATAATTATTATTTTTAACATTATTTTTACCAAATTTTTATATTCTTAAGTGGGACGCTTGAAGTGTCATATACTTAACATGGAATTATGTTGTTTGCTCTACTACTTTAGGCGTTGGTCGAAATTTCTAAACAACTATGGAATTGGAATGAAGAAATCTTTGAGAATTAATAGTATTTCGAGTAATTTCATGAAGAAGACTATAATTTTAAGCATATTTAAGCTGATAGAGCTAGAGAGAGAAAAATTGCTTTTTTACTTCCGTTCGTAGTAGAAAAATGATCACAATTAACCACAATATCGAGTTTTAAATTTAAATTTATGGTTAAACTATTTTTCTACTCATAACGCAGTCACATATTTTCTTGTAACTTTAACCTTACATACACATATATATATATATATATATATATATATGTTATTGGCCAGCACGTGCTTATTTTTGGCTTTCAACTATTTAACGGAGAAAATTCTTGCTAGTATGACTTCGCATTCCGAACGTGCAGCTATCGGTAGCTACGAATGTTTTAACACGAATTTTCATTTATTTGTCACACTCGTTTAAATATATGAGCAAATCTTCTAATAAATTATTAATTAAGAAATGACAAAACATTAAGAGAAATAATATTGATCGGATAAAATTTGTCTATTAATTGTTACATTGAACTACAAATATACCATAATAATATTTTCAATTTGAAATTTAAGAATTTTATTGTCCAAACGAAAGTTTGATAACAACTGTCTTTTCAATTTTCATTATTTTACGAATTGGTTTGATTTTCTATTGATTGTTTCTTATCGAAGAATTTACTTTTACGGCATATTATTGTTAATATAGTATTAACATAAGCATGCTGAGTATATACATTCGTGTCTGATATTTTATAAATACGTAAAATAGATATAATAGGTATAATCTATAATTTATATCATCAAAAATATTTGCGTTTAAATCCATTTAGGTCATATAATATTCTCTGATAATATAAGATATAATTTTAATAATTTAATTATATTAAATATATCCACTTTTATATTACTAAAATAGTGCATACACGCCTATGTAGGTACTGTGGGTGTCATTCATTGAGTGTTTACCAAAGTTAATATTTTCAAAAGACATTGCAGATTCATTCGTTCTGCTAATGATCATAATAATAATTTTAAAAGACTATTTATTGCGCGAATATCTTTTGCTATCCTTTATACGAAAGATGTCTAAAAATCTGCTAAAATCTAAAATAAAAGTTTAATTTAGAACATATATTTTTATTTTTATATTTTATATAAGGGTAAATTATTAATTATTCAAGTATCCATTTTATGTAAGTTTTGTAAACTAAAATCTATCTAAAGATAATCTATTTAGAGTTAATTCATATTATGTAAAGTATTGGGCTTTTAATCGGTTAATAATTTATGAAATTAGAAAGTTAATTCTCGAAATTACATTTGGATTCTCTGTAAAATGTCAAATGATATAATAATTTTAATTTTCATTTGATAAATTATAACCTCTTTGACAATAATAATATTGTAGAAAAAGCTTTTTTAATAAAGCGAAAATAAAAATTTTTTAATAAAGAAATAACATTAATTATACACAACAGATATGAATAAGTAAATAGGATTGTTATTGAAAATTTTATTATTATATTACTTTTATAGACACATTATTAGGGAAAAAAGTATTAGAATATAACTTAATTCTGTTTATACGGATAATTCAATTGTCGAGTACTTATTTTTAAATAATTAAAATAATAATAAATTTAACTAATTAGTTAAAGTACTTGTCATTCATAGAATAATGACGTATATTTTTATATCTAAATTATGATATTGAATATACCCGTATTACTTTACTGTAATATGGTTATTAATATTATAGTAGGTGTGTATGTGTATTGAAATTTTGTATAATTCTTGAAGTATCTTTGAAATATTTGATTTAAGTACAGAATGACAGATCATATAAATAAATTATCGACACTATAACGTATACGTACTTTTCATAGAGATTTTGAAGAAAAAAAAAAATCTGTTCTCATTAGTTAATTAGCAAAAATTAATTATTAACACAACTTTTAAATATTTCAAAATATTAAATAAAATAATATTTATTTATTTACTTAAATTATATATATATATATTTTTTTTTTTTTAAATAAAATCGATATATTTATAGAAGTAGATATTTATTTATATGGGACTGTATTCCTTTCATAAAATACAAATACGATTGACAAAAATATTATTTGGTTTAAAATTAGTTAGTAAAATATAACCATTATTTTTAACTATGATTATTAAAAATTTGCAATACATTTTTAATAAATATAATTAACCCACTTTATTTACATCCACTTATAACGTTAATAATTATTAATTTTAATAATCCTTAAAAGTATGGAATATATAATTTCAGTCAGAATTATTGAGAAGAAAATCATTTCTTTAATTTTAGGAAGGATTTTACATTATCGTAATATACAATTGAAGGTGCGCAAAGAACAAATAATATATATAAATTTAAGATATAATTCAATTGAAAATACGGCTTTATTCACAGTTTTTAACAAAATGAAAGTATGAAAAATATTGTGAATATTTATCGATATACATTGAGTTTCAATACGAATGGTTTAGCGGATATAAATATAATACGAAGATCAGGTTTTTAATTAAATATTTCAATTCGTAATTCGTTTATTTATAAGAATATGTTAAGTACAAATAAATGGTCTGATACCACCACTGAAATGTAAGATACTTAGTACAATAATACGTTAATAACGATTCGACAATGTATGTACGGATATATACATATATACATCCGTATATATATTCTGTGAATATATGTATAGACTCACATATTTATTTATATATATATTCACATACTACATGAATTTGATAAAACTGGATAGATGATGGAAAATGACTTGGAAACAAGTGACAAAATTTATTCCCATTAATTATAAATTATATGAGCAGCAATAGATTATTAAATATAAAATCAAGCTTCGTATATTTTTTATTAATTGGGATTTTTAATAGTGTATATAAACATTTTGTAACAAAATATCAACAAAGGTTTTTTATAAAAAATATTTTAATAGCTATTGCTTCTAAGGATAATAATTTTGTCTTATGTATTAAATTCCTTATCATATGTATTACTATGTTAGTTCATATTCCTAGATACTTTGTCATATATTAATCTGTTTATTTTTAAGTTTTATATTCTTCGAATAAATATATGGATTATTATGATATGAAATATTTTCATCCTAATTACATTGTATTTCATATAATATTTAATTTTTACATTAATTTTGTAACTATATAAATATATAATTTTTAATACTAAAAATTAATAAAAAAAAAATGTAATTATTTTACAAAATGTTTGTTCTTTTAATTTATTAGAAAAATGTATATGTGTATTGAAAACTATTAAAATGGAATAATAAATTGTCATTTATTAAAAATAATATTGAATTATTATTGAAATATACATATTCTGAATATTTATTTATGACATTTAATCTACATTTATTTATATAAATAATCTAATCTGTAATTAATTTTCTCAAGTTATTTTTTTTTTTTGCGAACCTGGGAAATAGCTATCCTTACTGCACAATCAAGAAATAAAACAACCAACTGTTGTTTATAGCCTAAGCTTTCAAATGAAAAAAAAAAAACAAAAATTATTATAACCAACGATTAACCGATAATACTCAATCGTTTCATATTTGAGATAATAATATATTTATCAAATAAAACTGCCTTAAAGTGAATAATAATTGACAGAGTCAGAATTCATTTTGGGCATTTAGCTTTCATTTTCGCGAGCATAGGTGAAGATGTATAATGTCTAGATTATTTTATATTCATAATAATAATTGTTGACTTTTTTTTTTAAATTTTACATAAGTATATTATAATTTCATTTACTATTTCAATTTATATACATGAATATTTGATGTATAATGGTTTCTTACACCTACAAACCTTATTAGTACCTAAATAAGCGACAACTTTATTATCATCCAAATAACGAACATTTTGTTAACTTATCGACACATTATTACATATTATAATATAAATATGAAAATAAAATATGATTAAATTAAATAAATACAATTTAATTGAATAAACGAAGTAATAAAATCAATATTGTGACTTTTGTTTTTTAAGTGTGCGTCATGCATAATTAGAGTTATTTTTATATTGAATTATGTAATATAAATAAAAAAATTACATTAGCATATATATTTAATTTTTTAAATTACTTTAAACATTGACTGTCGTTCCAAAAATGTTTCCTCAACTATATATCTAAGCAAATAATCCATTTAATGTTCGTCTGTGTGTATATATGCCCACAAGTAATACCAATTTCTAATAACTGAAACGTTTAATATCTAAAAGAAGACGTTCATGTTACCCGAAATTGAAATTGATACGTTGAAACAACAATTCATTTTTTAATAATACCTATAAAAGAATAGATATTGATTTATTAGAAAAGCAAAGTAATAATACTGAATTTTAAAATATGAAAATCTGTAAATGAAAGTATTGTTAAAAATTACACACGTTTTGTGCAAATAATTGTTTTAAAAATTAAATTCTAATTTAATTATTTCTATGTTATTTAAAAATAATTAGATTCGCAAACTAAAAATTATACATATTGAAATATTAACTTCCTTCGAAATTCAAAAGAATTAAATTCTTAATTATTGAACATAGAAAATTTAAAAAATGAGAAATAATGTAATAATGTTTTAAGATAGATAAAGTAAAAAATAATTATTTATTAAAATAATACAACTTAGATTAGATGTTGTAATTTTTAACTTAATTAAATATAGAAAAATTTGTTCCATAATAAAATTATTAAGTGTTTATATTATAGAAATTTAT